TTAATTTAAATATCAAAACGGATTTAACTTCATACAACATGTTGCAACTATTACTGCAAAGCTGACACCTGTGTCACTTTGAGTGACATGGGGCCGAGGGGATTGTGGAGCAGAGGGTGGACGGGAAAGCAGTCACAGCTTCACAGGCTCGCCCAGGACATGCTGAGCACGTGGGTTCTGGGGCGCCATGCCCGCAAGGACATGCGTGGTGGACGGGCGTCTGGCCGGGGCTGCCCCGACGTGGCTGGCTGCCCTCCCGTCTTACCTGGGCTGGGGAGGTGGCCGGCTCCCTGGGCTCCGTCTGGCCGGTCCCCAGAGCGGGCATCCCGGGCTCTGAGTGCAGGAGGGTGGAGGGGCTGGAGGGAGGTGACTCGGGTTGGCGCCAGGCCCTGGGGACACAGGAAACGAGTCTCACCCACGTGAACGGACACCAGCTGGCGGGCTGTAGAGAGTTCAGGAAGCACCGTCCTTGGCTATCCTGCGGTGAGCCGTGCGCTGCCATGTGGCGAGGCCCGGATCTCGCTGGGCGAGGGCGTTTGGGGGCTTCTATCAGCTCGCCACTCCCAAGCGCCAGGGTGTCCACACGTGACTTGTCTGGGGCGGGATCTCTCTCCCAGAAGCAACGTGATTACAATGGGGTGTCTGCACAGAAAGTCAGAACCCGTGGCGTGGACATGGCACACGCTCACCTGTGCTTGAGGAAGGATCTTCTGGAAAGTCCTTCATGGTGTGTCGGCCTGACTATTTACCTAAAAGGGTGGTAATACTTCCATCAAATGCCCTTTCATAAGAGACTGCTTAAGATTCCAGTATCAAGCCAGACTCAAGTAAAGTCCTTGATCATTTTAAACACCAGAAGGAAATACTCTTTCAGCCACAGTCAGAACGAACTCAGCTGCCACTGTCCCCCGACAGATGTCGGGGGCGTCCCCGGAGAAAAGCTGGGCGGGGGAAGCCCGTGGCTTGTGGCCCCCCGGTCCAGGGCAGACCCCGCCCGCCACCACCCCAGGTCTGAGCTCTCCTCCGTAGCAGCACATCCTTCCAGCCAGACAGGGCAGCCCTGCCCATCGCCGTCAGGAGGAATCCTCGACTGCTGCTGCCGGAGCCGTGGCGGCGACGTGCGCAGGACAGTCGGGGTTTCTGGGAGTTTGGGGACGGCGCCGCCCCTCAGGCACTCAGCCCCCAATACCCAGGGCGGCTGCTTCATCTCCACTTCATTCCCGTGAAATCAAAGTTACTCATGTTCTCTCAGCATTTTTCAAGGTCCCTCCCGGATCAACACACACCCACAAACACAGCTCAGGGAAATAGCTACATTTGTGTGCCGTGAACATGCTGGTCACGGTTTCTATTCAGTGAACAGTGACTTTTAACCGGTGGGATGCCAGCCGCCTGTTGCAAACGTAATAAGAGCAAAAGAATCAACTTAAACCGAATCAAAACAAAAAGTACAAAAGTCCTCTTATGGAAAAATCAGTTAAACAGTGATGATCCAGCAATGAAACCATCTGTGGAACTTAATTGCCAAGCCAAACGCTATCAGACTTGGGAAAGCAAGGAAACTCGGTTTTTCTCGGAGGCTCCAGAACCTTCCAGAAAGGACCATCGGTTACGGCTCTGCACAGCCTGCGAATTTGCTGCATTTAATTTGAACATCTGCGACCACCACCCCTTTCTTCTGCAACACTGCATGCCCGGCAGGCCACACTGACGCACTGCAGGGCTCGCCACCTCAAGACCAGGACGACCCAGCAGGGCCAAGAGCCCCACTCAGCACACCCCACACCACACAGCTGCCACCGTCAGACATCACGACGGGGACGTGCCCTCCCCCTGTTCCTCCAACCACGAGTCATGGCTACTGGGACGTCAGTCCTACGGGCCCCCCAATATCACAAAACGAAAGGCTCAGCCCTGGAAAAACCTTGTTAACAACCTGAGAAGCCTGGGGGCCGGAGCCAGGAAATAGCCCCCCCAACGCCCTCGAACAGGACCAGGGGCGAGGGACCCCCAACACAGCAGCGCAGGGCTCCCATCTCCCTTCCGGGCCTCCCCAGAGGAAGTGCGCCAGGCCCTACACCCACCGAGCTTGGGGGTGTCTCCATACTGGAGCCCGGGGGGCGGTGCCACTGCTTTGCCATCAGTAGTGCCCAGTGTGAATCCAGTTTTCTCCTTCGAATGTTGTTTTTAGGTCCCCTGTGCTCCCCGGACTGGGGGTCGCCTGGGCTCAGGGATCAAGTCGCCACTGGGCGGCACCCAGGAGGGGTGGGCGGCACCCAGGAGGGGCCTCCCCATCCGCACGTTCCCGTCGGGCGACCCCTGACAACGTCTGCAACTGAACGGAAACCGTGGCCCGTCTGGAAGCACAGCGGTGGCAGCGGGTGAATGCAGGGGCTCTGGGGGGCCTGATGCTTTGTCGCATCCGTGCACAGAAGCCGGCGCCTGTGAACTGAACGGCACGGAGCAGATGCGCCCACGGGCGCTCCGCAGGGGCCGCCCAGCCCCGGCTCAACACAGGAAGGCAGCCCACCGCCCCTGCCCACCTGCCCGCCGGGGACGGAACACCTGCCACAGGGAGGTGACCGCACAGTCTTGGAAAATAAGTTCTTCTCTGCATATTTCTGCTCCTCATTTCAGTGCATGCCCAGAACAGGCAGATTTTCCTTAGGATGTCAGAAAAGAATGTTCTAAAGTAACCCATTCCTCCAGCAAGCCCTTCAGCCTCTCTGCCTGAGGGAACATGGGAGCCCACGCCTGGCCCCCTGGACACGGCCCAAGTCACCAGCTCCCAGCCGCCAACTTCTCAACCCTCTCGTAAGGGCAGAGCTAACGAAAAAAGTGGGAAATTTAGAGTATTTACAGCAAAGAGGTTAAAACATAATAGAAATAACAAAATATCAAAACCCACTAGTCGACTTCACCCCGGGTTAGTCACAGACATACTAAAAATAGAGCGGATGGGGTTTTACTCCCCCGCGCCCAGCTCCCTGCGAACTGCGAAGGGGGGCATGTGCGCGCACGGGGCCTGGGGACGTGCCCGGGGCGCTGCGGCTGCCCGACTGCGTGTCCACTGGGAACAGACCACCCGACAGGGTCACCGCTTGCCCTCTGACTCCGCCCAGCTACCCCACCTGCTGCCAGGCCGGGTCTGGGCCTCTGCAGGGACAGGGCCGGAGGACGGGGGGCCCTGGAAGTGGAGAGCATCTCTCCCTGTGCCTCACTCGTCCCGGAGCCCCACACTCAGACCCCTGGCTCACGGCTAACGGCCTGACCAAATGCGGGTGCAACCGGTGCTTTCGGGCCACCCGGACCCCTGGCCCCATCCCTAGCACAGCTCTGCACAGAGCACCAAAGGCCTGGGGAACAGGCCCACCCCGGAGGAGAAGGCTGCCAGACGCAGGGACAGGAGGAGAAACACCGAGAAACCGTCCCCCTCGTGACAACGCGGTTCAGCCACGGAGGAGCTGCTGCGCCTCGCGGGGCCTCTGACACGTGGGGTTCACTCCCACCAACTGGGAGCATCCAGAAAGAGCCAGAACAAGTGTCCAGCGCTGCAGTTACACACCCAGCCTGCTCCTTCCACGACGTCTGTGAAGCTGCCCAGCCGGCCCCTCAGCAGGACGTTCACCTGCGGACTCCCCGATTCTAAACCCCAGATACTGCAGATACCCCAGCACCACCTCCTCAAGCTATCAGATCATCACAAACCCAACAGTTTCTGCTGGCAAGTTCAGGGTTTGAGCTGAGCGGGATGGACTAATGTGGAGCGTTTATCAAACACACTTTGCTTACGTGTCCCGCGTTTCACGTTCACAACAACTGTGTGACTATTGCCATTCCCATTTCTCAGATGCAAAAAATGAGGCCTAAACGGATTTTCTAAAGTGTGTCCAACAGCCTCGGGGGATGCACCCCTGGATCTGACTTCACAGCCAAGTCCTACAACCGCCCTGGCGTCCCACCTGCCTCGGACTTGGCACAATAAATAAAGAGAACGTGATGCTATTCTCCACGGTCAGACTTTATTAGCCACAAGCAATTTTCATCACGAATCCTTAGGATATTTTAGTGCTCGTGAAAATATTGTTTTTAAGATTAGAGTAAAAATTAAAGACACGCTCCCCAGACCCCCAACACTGGCTGCAGTTTTCCCCCTGCTTCCTTCAGCAGTGCTCAGGGACCCACACACAGCCCCGCCAGCCATACACGCTTGGACCGCAGGGCCCTGGGACAGGGCCCTTCCCACGCCCTCTGCACTCAGAGCCGCCTGTTTTGGGGTGTGTCACTCTGCCCCGAAGAGGAAAACAGGGCCACACCCGACTCTCCCTCACAGACACCAACCCAACAGAGCGTTTCTCTCGGGACGCCGGAGACAGGGTCACACTGCCCCAGACACCCAGGACCCGGGCACCCAGGATGGATGATGTCAGAGCACCGGAGCCGAGGGGGCGTGGCACCCTCCCAGGCCGGCGTCCGGGGAATCCCCGGCCAGCACCGCTGTACCTCATCCGCTCCTTAGGTTACTCTGTTATTTGCTTGTGAGCAACTGGAATCTAGCTGAAGACACTCAAGGTGTAAACACAACACCCAAATCCTTTTTAAATCTCACGTGCCAGCAGCACTGTCTGCTAGAAAGCGAGGATCTGCAGCCTGGCCACACTCCCCAGGCAGGATGAGTCGGCACAGGCAGGGGGCGAGGCCAGCAGAGGGAGCCCGAGCCCGTCACGTCCCAAGGCCTCCCCAGCGCAGGGGTCCCTGTCCCAGGCCCGCACAGCCCAGCACTTGTCAGCCGGCTCAGGGTTTAGGGTTAGATGCCTCGATTTCAAGTATGAACGTTCGCACAGGCACTCGGCCGCTTCCCTCCCGGTGCCCCGACAGCGCTGCCTCCTCTCCGAAGGCCCCTCGACTGCCACGACCCACACACACACACCCTCAGCACGTCCCGTCGCGGGCTGAGGCGCGTCACTCCCGCCCACACTGCGCGCCCGCGCGGCACTTACGGGACAGGGAGTGGGTGCCCTTGGGCAGGTACTCCAGTAGCAGGGAGCTGTCGTCCGCCAGCACGTCGGCCTTGAGGGCCAGCAAGCTGTTCTTACTCATAAGCGCCGCCCGCAGGTTGGCCACCGCGGTGGCCTGGTGCAGCGTGTCGTCCTTCTCCGGGGTGAGGGGGGCTCCCAGGTAGCTGCCTTCTCCTCCCAGGAGCCCCTCGTCCACATGCGCGTAGAGCTCAGGCCTCTCCCCGCGGCTGTCCGAGCTGCTGGCTTCAGCGACGGTCAAGTCCGCGTCTGGGGAGGGAAACACACGTTAGAGACCTTGCCCGCGACTCAGGACCCTCCGAACAGCAAGCAGGCAAGTTTAGGAGAAGCCGGAGCCACGAGTGTCCTGAACCCCAGCGGCCTGGCCTCAAGCCCGATCCCGGCCTGACACGAAGTCCCAGGACAGTGGTGACATCACAGCCAAGACCTCGCGTGGGGCTCAACCCAGAACCCGGGGGTGGGGTGGGCGGAATGGGCGCCCACCCAGGACAGCGGGTCTGCTCCGGGGCTGAACATCTGGGTATTTTCATCCCTCAGAGAAGGGGCAACACTCAAAATGGATCAAAAAGCCCAAACTACACAACTCTTAGAAAAGCTCCGCGGCCTCAGGCTGGGCCACGGGTTCTCAGCTGTGACACCAAAAGCACAAGCACTGAAACAGACTAAACTGGACTTCGTCAAACACTAAACCCCTGAAGGCCTCAAAGGACACCATCAACACAGTGAGAGGATGCGTGGGAGAGAACATCTGCAAACCGTACGCCTGACACGAGAGCCCGTCTAGACACTACAGAGGACTTTACTGCTCCATAAAAAGACAAACACCCCAGCTTAAAAGTAGGCAAAGGACATGAACTGATATTTTCCCGAAGAGGACACACAAACGACCAGCGAGCAGTGCTCGGCGCCGTTCGTCACCAGGGAAACGCAGCTCAGCGCCAGGACACCGTTCCCACGCCCTCTGCGACGGCTGCCACCCACAAGTGCCAACGGGACGTGGGACCCTGCAGCCCCCCAGGCTGCTGGTAAAGACGCAAAATGATGCGGCCGCGGTGCAAGAGCTTAGCGGGTCCTCAGAAGGTGGACACCAAGTTGCCACGTGGCCCGGCATTTCCACTGGTGGGAGGACGTCCAAGAGGGGTAAGACCCGCGTCCACGCTCAGAGCAACAGCACCTTTGACGGTCAGAAGTGGAGCAGGGCGTCCCTGGTGGCGCAGTGGTTGAGAGTCTGCCTGTCGATGCAGGGGACACGGGTTCGTGCCCCGGTCGGGGAAGATCCCACATGCCGCGGAGCCGCTGGGCCCGTGAGCCATGGCCACTGAGCCTGCGCGTCCGGAGCCTGTGCTCCACAACGGGAGAGGCCACAACAGTGAGAGGCCCGCATACCGCAAAAAAAAAAACAATAAAAAATAAAATAAATAAATAAATGGAAACTGGGTTTGGTTAAAAAAAAAATTAAAACAAAAAGAAGTGGAGCAGCCCAAACGCCCACCTGCCGATGAAGGATAAACACAAAGGAATATGATTCAGCCGTAAAAAGGAATGACACACCGGTGCAGCCTACGATGCGGATGGACCTCGGACACGTTACGCCCGGTGAAAGGGACAAATACTGTCCGAGTGCACTCACGTGAAATACCTAGAAAAGGCAAATCCACGGGGACAGAAGGAGACTGGGAGCTGCCAAGGGCCGGGGGAGATGGAGGGGGCGGGTCTTGGGGTGACTGTTAAGGGTGCAGGTTTCCTTCTGGGGCGATGAACATGTTCTAAAGTCGACTGTGGTGACGGCTACCCAGCCCTGTGAATAGACTAGAACCCAGCGAATCACACACTTTAAATGGGTGAGTTGTCAGCAGTGTGAATTACATCTCAAGAAAGCTGCTACTAACAAGAGGATTTGTGACAACCTCTAGCTCAGGGCCGCATACGCAGGACCAGGAGCCTCCCGTACCATCTGGGCCACGGAGGTGCCCCCAGAACGGGCCGGCGCCAGACGGACCCCAGGGAGAGCTGCTGCCTGGCCAGGGCCCCCCTGGAAACAAGTGGTGACTCGAGAAATCAAAACAGAAATGGGAAAGCAAGACCATTCCCGAGAGGAGGGGAAGGCAGGCGGGGGAAAAGGGATGGGCCCCCCTTCTCCTCCCACCCCCAGGCTGTCTTGGGAGGGGGGCAGCAGGGGCACTGGTGGTGGGGGGAAGCTGGGCAGCCTCAAATGTGGGACGGGCCCGTGAGCCGGTCCCGGAAACGACAGGTCCCTCCTCAGAACCCAGGGAAGCAGGGCCCAAGGCTGCGGAAATCAGAGAGACCCCGAACCAGCCTGAGCATCAGGACCGGACACAGCCTCGTGCACCCGGGAAGTGGGGCCAGCAGGTGCCAGGCGGCACCACAGGGGGCCCCATGTGATGGTTCTATGGCTCCTCCCACAAACACATGCTTGGAGGTGAGCGGAGGGCGGTGGGTGGACCGCCCGCTCACAAAGCGCAGGACCCGGTCCACGGAGCCAGGTGTGCAAGGCAAGGACGGCGGGGGCCTGGGGGCGCACGAGCTCCCCGCAGAGACCTGCACGCCAGGGTGGTGCTGAGCGCCGAGGCAAAGACACAGGAGGCTCCAGAAAGCTGAACCGAACATGAAGAGGGCGAGAGCCCGGTGGTCCTCCCCAGGAGACGCGGGAGGACAGAGGGTCCCCTCTGTCCTGAAGGGGCTCAGCCAGCCTGCCCCATGACGGCCCCCAGAGGGCAGAGCGACTTCCGTGACGAGGCCACTCCTTAGCCGCCTTGATGGGTGCACGAGAAAACTCAGACCCAGCCTGCTTCATGGTGCGCCTTCGTGTTGGAGGAAATTACTCGAAGCTGCAGAACCAGAGGGCACGGAGGCAAGAGCCACCATCAGCCAACCCACCAGACTCACCCAAAATGCCTCAGACAGCTTTCACACAACAGTTCGATAATTGCAAGAGACTGGATTTCTGACTGTGGTCCTTGGACAGGAGTCAGGATCAGAACCAAAGAGCCAGGGTAGGTGGAGCCAGGAGCCAGGGCCCCAGGCACCCTGGGGACACATGGCCACTGACCGATGTTTGCAGACACTCCCGAACTGGAAGGGCACATTTGTCCACGCAAGGTGCATAGGAACTGGGTTTTGGGGTGTGGGGTGGGCCCACCTCAGCAGAGCCCCTCAGGTGTCGAGCGCACTGGGGGCACTAGGGCCCCGGGGAACAGGCTGAGAGATCACAGGGGCCCCGACCAGGGGCATCACATCCCACAGGGCAGCACACCCTGGGTGCCACCACCTGGATGGGTCTAACCTCTCCCCAAGGATACGAGACACTAAGGACACCGTCGAGGTGTAGCGTCAGGCTACTGCTGACCGAAGCTCCGGAAGGATACTTTCTTTTTTTCAAACTATAAGCTTTTCATATTTTCCTGCCAATTCTTAAATGCTATATCAGCACTGACTTTGCATTTCTAGCCCCTAAGTGTAGGGATTAAATCAAACTGAGATGAAGGCTTTGCCTCTGTCTGCACGGGCTCCGGTAAGACTTAAGCGGTTCTCAGTTCCGGGGCTGGAAAGGCCAGGATCTGGGTCCAGCAGGGCCCTGTTCCTGGCAGAGGCTGCTTCCTGGCTTGCAGACGGCCACCTCCCCGCTGTCCTCACCTCGGTGGGTGGGCAGACGGAGGGCAGGCTCTGATGCGACGCAGATGCCGAGGGCCTCCGTTTATCCTGATGACTTTCTCACCGGCCCCATCTCCAAATACAGCCACACCAGGGTTAGGGATTCAACATATGAATTTAGGGGACACAAACATTCAGCCCATAACAGACTGAAAACTAAAAAACACCAGATTTCAAAACCAAAATTTTAATGAAATTATATTAACAGTTTAAGTTCAAAAGCGTGTAAAAGAAATCAAGATTAGCTGAAAGATTCCAACCACATGTGAAAAGCTAAAAGTTGGGTTTCGAAGAAGGATGTCTGGGGTCTGTTACTGAGAACTGCCATGAAACGGTGAACCGGCTGCTAACTGCCGTGAAACGAGGGGTGGGGGGGACCGGCAAGCACGAGCCACAGACACACTTCATGGGTCGACGCTCTGAAGATGCTCGTGGGTGAGCGGTGAGGGTCCACGAGATGTAGGGTGACAGTGAAGGGAATGAAAGCCGTCGACTGAAAAATTCCCACATGAATATTTATGACTCAGGAAAGGTACCACCGTCCAGGGAATCAAGACCAGACACGCCTGCGGTCACTCAGTGTCCTAACCTAGAGCCCTCGCGGGTCCAGTGGAGAGCCAGCTGCACAGCCCCGAGCAGCTCGTGATAGGACACGCGGACATGCTCTCAGCGCCTGAGTGCACCCTCCATCTCCCAAGCCTTGCGGTCTGTCGGCTGAGCACCCAGGTCGAAATTGAAGCCCCCAATTCTGGAAACAGCACTTGGGACGTCTCCCAGTATAGGGATGATACCAGTCAAACGGAGCTTGGAAGGAACTGGTCATTCTGAAGATGAGAGCTGTGAAGGAGGCCAGAAGGGCTAAGGGGACTTGACTCTCCGGCGTCATCTTGATGGGCCTAGGGCGCCCCACGCTGGCCGGGTGGGCTCCTGCACTCGCTCTGGCATCCACTTTGGAGGTGCAGGGAGACCCAGTTTCCACAGAATTTCTTGTTCAAATGAGAAAGCGGAGGGAAGTGCCCAGAAGGGAGAGGGTGTGAGGCCGACCCTGGGCCCTCCCAGGTCCTGAGCCTCCTGCCGGGCAGACAGGCTGGGAGCCTGGCGAGGGGCAGGGGGCAGGGGTGGCGCCTGGGGGCACCGGCCAGGCGCCAGGAGAGAGAGCGGGTCCTTCCCAGGCCCTTGCAGACCACAGCCTGACTTCAAAAGGAGGGATTAAGACGATGAGGTCAAAAATGAAATTCTACAAACAGAACAGGGAGTTGAAAGCAATAGTTAACATTGCAACAAATCCTTTCATAGATAAAGAATTTGATGTTACATAAAGCCACAAAATAGGCTCTTACTAGATTATTGTTATCAAAAAACTAAAACCTTTCCAAACACTCCGTGGGGGCAGGGGGTGGCGCCAGTACAGCTGTCCTACCCATTAGCAGCAGCGGCTTTCCTTTAGCAACTTGACATTCACGGGTTAAACCCAGACTTCATTTTGTGCCGCTTTCAGGTGGATCTCAGCTGGAGCCGGGAGAGGTGGGAAGCCAGGCTCGGACCTGAGCTTCAGGAACGGCCTCCAGCCTGAGCCA